ATATATACAACATACATATATGATGAATGAATTCCAATTCAGGTAAATCCAAAAAAGCTTTTCAATAGCTACGAAATGTTAAATAAAATTGAATACATTTACTTTTAAAAAGTTAATTTGACTGCTCAACGCTCGAATATAATGATTAACCACACAAATACACACACTCACACACAGTGGCAGAGCATTCAACAGCTTCCTTCATGAAATAAATACAAATGAGCCCTATTGAAACTCTTTGTATTTGATTCGCATTTCGAATCGTTATGGCTGCAACATTCTTGCAATGATTTATTAATGATGCTTATTATTATTGCTTAATTGCTGATATTTACATGCGCCCACACACTCACACACACACACACACCACAATTGATATTCACTTTGTATGAATTACAGACTCTGTCCATAATTTAATTGAAATAAAAATATAACTTAAATCACGCACAATCAAAGCCCGAATATGTGGCTGCTGTTTTGTTTGTTGCCATTTAATTGTTATAAAAATTTAATTAATTCGATTAAGTCGCATGCACAAATAGTGATACCAATTTTATTATACGGCTCAAGTGGGCGGACTCCGCACTCATTAAAGCCCAAAACGTATAAACGAAATTCAATTTGTATTATCCCTGAACGCACTTGTGGGCTTTAAAGCTAGCTGTAGCGTCTGCAGTGTGTTTAATTAGTATATTGAATGAAATGAAATGAATTCACAATCATTTACGAAGCAAGTGAATTTCAATTAAATCACTTCTTGCCTTCGATTTCTGTTTTATTTCACAGTTGGCGAGGTTAAGTAAATAGATTTGCTTACATGAATAACAGAGTGTATTCAATGGAAATATTTGCGCATTACATTTATAAATTGTTATTGATAGATTTCTAATTTATAGAAATTTTCATCTTTCATCTTTAATATTTTATTCTCATCTCCTCGCTTTTTATCAGCCATGCTCATTAAACAATCCATACAGCCTAAAACACAGGCCAGACAGAACTTATCTATTTACAGTTATAGCTTTTGGCAGAGCTCGCATAAAATGTATGAATGATTTATTTAAACGAGCTCGCCGTTGCTTTTGTATTGTCCATCGCTGTTCGTTAAATAATATTTTTAAAATTTTTGCAATTAATTTTTAAGCGTTTTTAAAGCTTATTTTAATGCATTCATTAAGCACAAAGCTGGCCTTAAAATCAACGCACGCATCATACAAATCCACATAAATGACAATCGCTCCCCAGTCGAGCCGTTTGCTGCCAGAGTTGACAAAGAAGTTCGCTTCTGGCCCCGCCTCATGTCCGGGCGTTAATCAACGACGCGTCGCATCGGCCCAGACCTCTTTGACTACCTTCACACTTTATGGGCATTGTTGGCGCATTGTCTCGCTTGATTATGCCCGACAGATTTTGATGCTGGTGCTGCTGCTGCGGCTCCTGCCGGTTTTTTATGCGCGCGGGCTCATGACACGCAGACACATAAATTTCACATACCCAGACTCTCGGGCCAAGCCAAAGGACCTGCGACTTGAATACGCAACGATTTGCATATAAAACACTCGGAAAACAATGCAATGGCCACCCTCGATTGAGATTTCTCTCAGCCCTCCGCGACACCCATACGCGGTGTTTATTTAGCCGGCCAGACGAAACTCTGCTATGAATGGAGAAGTGCTTGACGTCATATAAATATTCTTGATATGATATACAAATTATAAAATTATATCCAGGGACCGCAAATAAGAGTTATGAATTTAAAAAACTGAGGCTGAAAAGAAGCCCCAAGAATAGAGAGGAAATTACACATAATTTATTTTTTACGGCAAATTTAAAAAAATGATAAACCTTTATTTGCAATTTAATTTTTTTTTTTTAATTATTTTGAATTATTATAAATAATTCATATGATAAAAATCAAAAATAATTATTACAGATCAATTTTGATATCAGAATCAAATCATAACTCTTATTTTCAATTTTTATAATAAAAATTAAAAATAAGAGTTATGGCCTAACTTTTATTATAAAAATTGAAATAAAAATTGAATTCAAATATCGCTTGAACTAAAGGAGCTAGATCATATATTTATATATATTTATCTACGCATTAATACCTTTCATTTTATATATCATATGTATGTAAATTTATTTTATTATTAATATCATTTCGTTTATAATGAGTCGATTTTTAGGCTCAATTGTATTCGATTCAAGCGTGAGAGACTTAAAAAGACAAATCAGCTGTCGATCGCGAAGTGAGAAGTTCATGACAATGCTATATAGACATACGTTCACCCTTTATGTACCACTTATGTCGTATATCCTTTGATATTTTTATTTTATTTAAGATTTTTTATATGAAATGCTTTTCCTTTTCCCTCATCCTGCATAACATATGCTTTCTCCACAAACTCAATTATAAATTGCCCAACTCAGTGCAAATTTTGCACAGTGTATGCATGCATATTGTATCATCTTTAATTTCTCTGCTCTAATTCGGATGCTGTCTCTGCAGACATGCTCAAGTGGATATTAAGGTAAAACAAATGAGCGTCCAAGGTTCAACAACACCCACAAAGTAAATACACCGAAATGAAAGAGAAAATGTGTGCGAGTGTGTGTGTGTGTGTGTATATACGAATGGGTGTAAGCGTTAGCCGACCCCAATAATTTAAGCACAATTTATGGCATTAAGCTAAAGATACGCAGCAGAGACCAAAGACTGGCCAACAGCCCCGCCCACTAAAAGTGGTCAATGGCCCAGACAAAATAAAAATAGCCAGGCAAATGTTTGCAGTTGTATTCTTTTTACTGTTTTGTCTGCTTCTAATCCTTGCAGGACGCACACACACATAGAGAGAGTGAGTGAGTGAGAGAGAGAGAGAGAGAGAAAGAGATTGAGCAGCATTCATTTGGCATAAATCAAATGTGTTCGCTATGTGTGTGTGTGTGTGTGTTTGTCTAAGCTGCCTTGGCTTTTGCTGCTGTTGCGTAGTGTTAATTAGTATTTAATCTATGAACCATAAATAAATCCCTTTTTTGGCAAGGACACTCAGCTCCATAGCTGCTTTTGTAGCGCCTTAATAAATTGCCAATTATGTGTCATAGAAGTTAAGTCAACTAATTGCTGCTTTTATTTTCTGTGTCTCTGAGTGTGAGTCTAACTCAGACTGTGTGCGTGTGTGTGTCTGTGAATATGCAAGTGTGCTTTGAGAGCCCAGCAGCAAATAGAAGAAATCAACGTGCATTACTCATTCAGCTCTTTATGTTAAACTTCTTTTGTAAATAAATATTATATAAATAAAGAAAAGAGCTTCTCTTAATAGATAATAGCTTAAGCACTTGCTAACCATTATGACTGATATTAAATTAAATATTTCGCACAGACTCGATTGACTTTTATAAATACTTTAAAGGGACAAACCAGAGAATGTTCATTACAATATGGAAAGCCAAGTGTTTCTTTTATATGATTATGTTTTAGCTACAAATATGTTAAAATGTTTTTATTTATTTATTTTTTTTTTTTTTTCATTATTTACAATTTTTTATTTAATATTTCATTATAATTTTAGTACTATTTTCTTGTATAAATGGTAAATACTATTGTTCCCCATGGCAGCTCTCACCTTTTACAAACTCTGCTTTGTAATTTATAGCCTGGTTAATTGCTAAGCTAAGCAACATAGCGTAAATGTCAAATCAAGTATCTCTGCATTTTCGAATTCCCATTGAGTGTAACACTTGCTACTCGAACAGCAGGCAATCAAATTTTCCACGGAGCTTGCAAATATTTATTCAATGTGTGATGTGTGTGTGTGTGTGTGTGTTGTCAATCGATGGCGCTTGAAGCGCCCATAAAACATTTTAATTGATTGAGCGCTAAGGTGTTGCCAAACACCCAACTAAAACCCAGAGTCCCAATGTCAAACAGGCCTGCGCCCCTTGGCACATCTCAGCTACGCTTCCAATACGCGTTCCCTTTTCGCTGGCGCCATCTGGCGGCTGCTATCTGCAGGCTGTGGGCGCTAAAAACTAATGCGTACATTTGCATTGCAAATTGCGCATTTTAAAGCGCGACAATTACAATGTAGAGTAGCTCCCCATCTCTCACAGAACCCATTCGCCCTTCCACCATTCCCCTGCCCCCATCCACAAAGCATCTGCGCACCCAAACACTGTCTTCAAAAGCAATTAGCGATTAGCGTGTAAAACTTTTAAGCATCACTCGTTACGCACACACATCCGAAACGTAGGGGGCGAGTGTGTATCTGTCTCTCTCCCTCACTCTCCCTCTCCCTCTCCCTCTCTCTGTGTGTGTGTATTCGCACATTAGCCTGTTCAGTCACAAATTCTTTTATTTGCATTTTCTGAAATTTGCATCAATGTTGTTGCTGTTGTTGTTGTTGTTGTTGGCACCGCAATTCGCAATTTGCAATCGCTCATTGATTTCGCTCATCAGATTTTCTCGTTGATTTTAAATGCATTCGCAATTTCCTGACTTGCTGTTTTAATTGTGCGCATTAAAATCAGCGCATCGATGCATTTTTAATTCAAATTAAATATCGCTCGCTCCAATAACAATTCTGTGGCAAGCGCGACTGAGGAGACAGCAGGTGCATGCATGATTGCAAATTGAGCAGGTAGAGATAGATTTACGCGTTAAATCAAACAATTAATGCCGAAAACAAAATGAATCAAATACTCGGTAAACTATAATTCAGTCAGCGAGCTTTGAATAAAAAACAATAGTTAAGCGCTTAGTTAAAAAATGTTTTAATGGTACACAAAAGATAAAGGAAATAAAGGAAAAATGAAGGTATATCGCTATGTTGTTAGAATGTCGAATGAGAAACATAAGAAGAACAAGAGTTTCTAAAAAGAACTAGAAAGAGTGAGTGAAAGAGAAAGAGAGCGTGAGGAAGAGAGAAAACTTATGTATGCGTAATCATAGCTAAGTGGTTCTGTATATTAAAGATTTTTCCCATAACAAAACAAACATAAATAATCAAACATCAAACAACAAGTAGCCTTTACACAAAAAAAAATAAAAAATCATAATACATAAAAAATATGTTAATTGCTTACACAAACCAGCACTCAACAACAGAACATAATAAAACGCACAAAAAATAAACTAATAAATAAAAAATAAATAAAAATAAAAATATCCACGAATAAACAATAAAATGGACAATAAAAAGAACATAACAAACACTATTAAAGACTTTACAGATCGCACATATCTCCATCCGCAGTATGATGAAAAATTTCTTACAGAGCCGTCAAAAGTACAGGAAACAATGGACTTCCTCGAGCAGATGCTGAATGCCAACAAAATGGTGGAGTAAGCGAGAGAGAAATCTTGTCATATTCTATATATCATAGAATGTCATTTATTGAGCAGCAAACGGGCAGATAAGAAGTCAGAGCGGTCTGAAACCAGTGAGAGTGTTACGGATGAAGACTTTGTAATATTTAGGCGCTTGCAGAGTGGTCGAATGTCGTCAAAGAGATCCAGGTCAAAGATCAAGTTATCGGCTAACACGAACCAGTTCACATTCATGCGACAAATTGATAACAGCGCACAGCAACGCAGCTCGACGCGCGAGGAACGCGAACGAGTTGCCAATAATTTTCGCAGGTGAGTCGAGATTGCTAGCATATTATATCATCCCATGTACAGTTAGCATATTATTTGAGCAGGTTGGGCAACTTCGCCTATCGCAAGGGACAGTTTAACCATGCCATTGAATTTTACAACCATGGATTGGAGTACATAACGGATACGCCAGTTCTATACTTGAATCGCGCCTGTTGCTATATTAAGTATAAAGTTCAGATATTGGATTGTTTATTGGCTTTTAATTGATTCCTTTTTGCAGGCTGCGCAGCTTTCAGCGTGCCATTATGGACTGCGATCATATATTGAATAACTTGGATCCGAAGCATATGCGCGCCTGGCTCTATCGAGCTCTTGCCTTCAAGCGCCTGAACGAGGAGAACAAGTTCAACGAATGCATACGCCAGGTGAGGCGACTGAATAGCAGGGAAAAGGCATTTATTGATGGATTTTTGGAACGAATGCAGTCAGCACTCTAACTGCGCTCTGCAAATTCTATGTGTGTAAATTCCAGAACATAACAGAACAGAAATTTGGCATGAATTCATTTCGAGCAAATAAATCAGAATTACAGTGATTAGTCCTAAATCAAAACTAATCTTAAATTATTTAAATTGGTCTTGAGTTATGCTCGATCGGCAAGGTGAAACTGTTCAAACAATTTGAACTTGTAGAATAGCTGTAGGTTGACAAATTCAAGCTCAGACTAAAAGTCTGTCACTTCTCTAATGCTCTTCAAGTACACTCGTATACAAACCCACACACTCCTTATGTAATGCCGTAAGTTAATTTTCACACTTAAGCACTTAGTTTTAATCGATTGGCCTTTGAGCGGATGTGGAGTCTGGTCAACCCTTCTGGCGAGCATAAAAGCCATCATCGAGGGCAATCATTTAGGATTATCGTCTGCCTCTACTCTGTAGCTCTCTTTCCCTTCTCTCTTTCTTTATTTTCTGACTTTTTTCTCATTTCCGTTTCAATATGGCCGGCAAGCCCTATCGACTTCATCGCCAGCCACTCAATGGCCAACCAACACCTTCGACTTCAGGCTGAGCTCTTTGAACAACTTTCAGTTGATTAGCCGTGCACTCTTTGCTCCCTAATTAACTGCAAGTAACTCGCTCATAAAAGTCGACGAAGACAGTTCGCTGGAAACAACGGGGCTGAGCAAATGCCAAGCAATTGATTTTTATGACTGGTCTAAAAGAAACGCAATTGAAAAATTAATTGAAAGTCGCCATGAGGGCGTGTGTCGGGCTTGTCTGCACTCTGCAACTGCAAAGGCAGATGGCCGGCTAGTTATTAGAGCTGGGCCTCGCTAAAATCGCTGGCCAAGTTTTTGGGAGCACTTTCAGTCAATTTGATTTTTTAATTAAATTTATTATGGCAAATGGCATCAAATCAGATATGGCTTACCTCATTTCAGGGTCAGGTTGCCAACAGCTCCAGCTGTATATGCACTCGACTTAAGCCCATTTCCCCCCAGTCTAACACTAAGACGTGCCTAATGCCGTTTACTTCATGTCCGGCTCATAACAATATCTATCTGTCCATATATATACATATGTATATATTTACTTACACAAACATATATTTTCTGTGTGCGGCATTTTATTTAATTTAGTTTTAAGGAAATTTTATTTTCCTATTGCTGCTTTGCTGGTTTTATGCAATTTGTAAACCTTGAGTACTTCAGTATTAAGCAATATCCAATTTTTAGCATTTATTTAAGTGCCATTTTTTTATAAAATATTTGCTATTGCCTTTGGCTTGATTAAGACTAGATTTAAACTGTACATAAAATCTAAATATTATTTGAGCTCTGTGAAATTCAATACAAAATAGAGGAAAACTATATTTTTTTTAGCTTTTTTCTTTTTTATTCAAGTTATGTTTTAACAAGTAAGAAAGCTCTAGTCGAGACTGCTCGACTACGAGATCCACTGAACCCTTGGAGCAATAGATATTTCAATACTTTTTCGCGATTTTCAGCTTACACAAAAAACACGCACACACACACACACACACACGCACGTACGCACACACAGGTATACATACACACACACGCATACAGACACACATACACACACACACGCATACAGACACAAACGCATACACACACACACATACACACACACATACACATACAAGCAACCACGCATAAACACGCATGGGCTGCAGTGTGCGCTTACTATGAGAACTTAATTGTTTAATAACTTTTTTTATGGACGTACGATCTTCATGAAACTTTTAGATTATGATTATAACATGAATATGCATGTAATTGCCAAAGCACAAGTCTCTAGTATTTGAAATACGCTTTTTACAAAAGTGAGGGTGAGGGGGTGAATTTAGAGGTGGGGGGTAAATTTTAACAAAAACCGAAATTGTATAAATTGCATATAAGCATACATTAAAAATTTGGAGACTCTAGCAATAAAGGTGTAGAAGATATAATTTTATAACTGGGTTTCGATAAGGTTTTTTATCGATAAAAAAAGATCGAGATGAGTTATCGATTTTTAATGATAAACTTGATATGCGCGCTGTAATTACGGCCATTTTAAAAAAAATTTGAAGTCTCTAGCTCTTATATCTTCTGAAATCGACGCGTTCATACATACGGACAGACGGACAGACGGACAGACGGACAGACGGACAGACAGACGGACAGGGCCAAATCAACTCAGCTCGTCACCCTGATCAAGAATATATATACTTTGTGGGGTCTGCCACGCCTCCTTCTCCCTGTTACATACATTTCAACAAAACCATTATACCCTGATTTCCCATTGAAAATGGGTTCAGGGTATAAAAACAAAATAAGTAGTCTTAACTTTGATATTAAGCGTATGGGATACAAATGATGAGCATGCGCATGGCTTATAAAATATATATTTAAGCTTTTAAACCTATAGATTTGGTAGCTTATAAAATTGTTGCCATTATGTTATGGTCATGCAAAAAAAAAAAAAAAAAAAAAAAAAACAAACAAACAAACAAACAAAACAAAAAAAAACCTCTTACAAAAATTAGAAGTACTCTTTGGGTAAATTTTATTTTATTTTAGTTAAATTTTGAACGCAAGAAAACTCGACTTTAAGTGCTGGAATTAAAGTCTTGGCATGTGGTTTTGGCATTTAATCATTGTGTTCAAGTATAATTACTGCATTTAATTTCATGAATCGACATTTCGTTTTAGCTTCGAAAACACGCGCAAGCCACAAAATTAATTTCAATTTAACCACAAAGCAGCGCGCATAAAAGCGCGAGAAATTCGCAAAGTTATTTTACGATTTTAATAAATTTCCAATATGTGCGGCACACCTGATCCACCAGCAGTCCGCAAGCCAATGGCTGGAGTGGCGGGCGAGTAGTGGGCGGGGCTAAGCCCAAAACGGACATAAAATAAAATGAAAATGTTATTTATTGGGCGGGGGCTGGTAAAGCGGGGCTCTACTACAATGCAGGGTCACGAAGTTAATACCTCGGGTTATATCTCTAAAAACAGCGCAAGCAATCCACGACCATGCGCCATTTACGAGTTGTCGTGTGTTTGGCACATTGCGTATACGCAACATGTGCGTGCCGTAAACATTTTGTGTGCCATCCATGCCCGCTTACGTATTTAACATCGAAATGTGTTTAATTGCAAAAAGTGTAATTTATATGCGTATGGGTGCTCGGCAAGAAGCCGTCGCAAAGAGGACATAGCACAGCTGAAAAAGTCAGCCAGAGCAGAGGAGAGGAGAGGAGGTAATTAAAGTCCAGTTGGCGGAGACAACGCTCCCAACGAAAGTTTTCCATTGTTGGTTCAATCGCATGGAATAATTTATTAATTAACTACAATTCGAATGAATGAATGAACGATTACAGAGGCTGCCAGTACCACAGTCGGTTTTAGATGAGACTGAGCACTGAAATGGGGAGCAGGAAACGCAGTCAGACGGAGTGTATAAGACGGCAACAGCTGTTGCTAGAGATGGACGAGTCTGGATATAAATCGAAAGTGAAATATTAATGTTAGATAAATTGCGATTAAATCTTAAATATTCAAATAAAATTTTTATAATATAAGGCAATATATATATGGACGAAGTAGACTATAAAAATAATAAATTAAAAAAATAATAAAAATAAATAAATAATATTTTTTTAAATAATAATAAATTCTTCGATATATAGAGTAGGCTTCGAAATTATGAAAATTGAATATTATAAATTGCTACCAAATATTTAATACTACATATCTAATAAAGTACATAAATATAAATATATTAATGAAATGCCTTATTTTTTCTTGGAATTTTCATTGCTAATCAATATCGAAGCGTTACATTATTAATACTGAAAATTTAAAGCCTATTTATCTATTATATAAGACTATAGAAGTCCACACATACGGTATTTCTAACTATCGCATGCCTGCAGTTAGGTAACACGCGCTCAGCTCTAGCATTCCGCAGGAGTTAGCTGCCGCAAGACGACAATTTGCCATTGCACGTAACGGGAAAATCAATTAAAAGCGCTTTATGTGCGCGACAGTCTTCGGTTCAAGCTGCTGGGACAAGTTTAGCGCCTTGGCAAGTGGAACTTTGTTAGTTTCTAATTAATTGTAACAGTTACAGAGCGTTTGAAGCCAGCAGCAGCAGCAGCAGTAGCAGGAGTAGCAGCAGCAGCTGTGCCTCAGCCAAGTTTGGTCGAGTTGGTAGCTTTTGGCCATCCTTAGTTATTTATGTCAAATGCTCAACATTATTTATGTTGCATATTGGGCGCTTTGTATTCGCAGTAAATTAACCAGAAATAGTCGAACTTCAATACAGATTCCCCTAGCTGGGCAGCAGCAGCAGCTGCCAGTATCGTTCTTGCTGTTTATTGGAAATGTCACAATAAGTTTTACGTTATGACAATTTTATATGGCTGATTGGAAATAGCATTTACTTTTGTCTTACCAATCAATGAAATAAGCACTTACAGCTGCTTAATTTACTTTCTCTTTATATCAATCCCAAAACGCAAGCCAATTGAGACTTGCAAGTCAGGGGAGAAATGTATATAGCATACATATAGTGAAAAACAGATGAGAGGCATTGAGTGAGAGACACAGATAAAGAGAGAGAGAGAGAGAGCTAAAAGCAAAGGAAAATATGTATGCAAAGTATGGAAGGAAAAATCAAAGAAGAATTTCTTATTAAAAGCAATGTAGAAATTCTTTAAAAATTATGTATTTTTATTACAATTTATTTAAAATAAAATTAAAATATAAGAAAAAAATTAAATATTGTAAGAAACTTAAATGTTCTTTATTTAAAAATATATTTTTATATTAAGTACTTAATATATAGATACATATATTCAAACTTTTCAGAAACTTTTAACAACCATCCACTATCTAATACCTGTGCCTGTCTTCTTTACTTATATTTCTTTAAAATAAAAAATTAAAAATTAGCCATTTGAAAAAACAACCTTTTCATATTAGCCCTTTATCGAATTCGTAGAAATTAAATTACTGCAATATTTTAGTGCTGTAACAGAACTTAGGCTCACTTTGGTAACGTTCAGTTAAGCCTCAGGTATCTAAGGTATTGTCATTTCATTTTATGGCTCCGTATAATATCAACTTATTTTATCTCACTCGCAGACAGCCAGCATTCAGACACCTATCTATAATTACCAGAAAATTGCTGAGCTGCAGAGCAATAGCCAACGCTGTGGCACAATTCCACACAAAGAGAAACAACTGCTCCCCAGGCCGAAGAGCCACACAAAATTCGCTTTGTGCCCACACTCTTAAATATGTTGGAATAAAAAATTGAATGAAATCCCATGTTCATTTCCGTTTTGCTAGCCCCAAGCAGCATTGTGTGTGTTTACGTATATATACATGTGTGTGTGTGTGTGTGTGTGTGTGTGTGTGTGTGTGTGTGTGTGTGTGCTTTCAATGGCTATCAATAGATGTCGACCCTCTAGGCGCCAAGTCCAAGTAAGCCGCACACGTAAAAAAGGCCAACGGAAACGGAAAAGGCTTAACAGCTGCGTTTAGACGGCTGAAAGAGCTGCCAACTAGGCATTGGCAGGAGTGGCGCTCGACAGTGGGCGACAGTTGTTGCTGGACACTCATGGCATAAGCGGCATAATCATGAAAATTGTCAGTACATAATGCCTCAAAGGCCGTCATCGAAGCTGAAAAGCCGGAAAAGGTTTTTATTCGCAACTTTACTTACTTTACACGCTTGACTCCGAGAAAGAAGCCTCTGCAAAATTTGTAGAGCGGAAAGTAATTTTCTTGCGTTTTTTATTTCCAACGTTCCCTTTTTTTACGAGTCGATTTTCGCTTAGTGTCCAATCCCCTCTCCTCTCCAATCCTCCTCTGCCGACCAAGAAAATCTTGGCATCAGAAGAAAAAAAATGAAATTGGTTAAGAACAGCAAAAAGAAAAGTTCACAGGCCGCACTTTGATTTTGTTGTCTGCTCTTTTAGGTATACCCTAACTAAATATCGTTGCGTATCTTGCTGAAATGTGTAACACATGAATATTCCATATATTGAAAAATATACAAGGAGAGTTGAGCACTTAGTGGAATGAAAATATATTGAAAAACTTACTACAACTATAAGTTTTTATATATTTATATTTTTTTATTTGGTTTTTGATACTATTACTGATTTTACCCTATAAATATATGTATTTTAGACTGCTTAGGCTTAAGTTTTTTTTAGCTTTATATATCATATTTTAGTATATAAAAATATATATTTCAAATATGGATATCAAATATAAATACTCAAGAAATTCATTCTAATAGGTTTATATTTACAATATAACTCTTTTAGAGTATCTACTAGTCGTTACGCCCCCAGCTTTCTCTTGTGTATGTGTGGGCGTGTTTTTCGTTTGTGCTGCTTGCGTTAGCAAAAAGCAACTTTTGCACGTTTCGATTGTGTAAAGTTTTTATGGCTTTTTGATTTTTTCACTTATTGGCCCTGATGCCGGACCCCGCGCCCGGCACTGACCCTGCCCAGCTCTTAGTCAATGGTAGGCGTGGCTACTCCCACCACCTGCTGCCCAAATGGCACTTAAATAATTACAAAATAATGGATGGGCGATGCCCAAACCGAGGGCGCTCTGCCCACAGCTACTTGGCCCAGCGAACAAAAGGCAGCGAGAGCTGTGGAGCTGCTAACGCATCCTTATCGATAACCTGTGCCTAATGCAAATCGTGCCCAAGTGCCAGTCAACACTCTGAGAGAACTCTTTCACATTGCTCAACTACGTGTTGACAGTCAGTCAGTCAGTCAGCCAGTCATTGAGGCATCGAGGCAACGGTATGCAAATATTTGTGAAAAGCAAAATCAGTAAAAGTGCCTCGGGGGCAGAGATTGTCAATTCGAAGTCACTTTGAGTTGTCGCCCTCTTTTTATAAATATTTAATGGGCCAGAATGTAACAGAGTCTAATCGAGATGTGTTTGCACAACTGTTTAAGATTCAAACATAAGTTTAAGTCATTTGCACGAAGTGCATAAAAAAGCTTTTTAACTAAAACTAGGCAGAGTTTCTTTATACAAATGAAAATGAAAATATATAGTTTATAAATAAAATATTAAATAGAAAACAAAAGAATGCAGAATCAGCCAAATACCTGTAAATTCTCTAGTGCTTTACTTATTTACGCATCTATTTTATTTTCCAATAAAATACTTTCGCCTGTGGCTGCGCACAATAAGATTACACAATGTGCAAATAACTTTTATTGATAACGAATTTGTAAGTGTGGCCACTGCCACGCCCACTGTTCTAGCTAAAAAATCGAGTTGATCAATGCAAATGCACGTATATAGTAAATATAAACGAAAATAATGCGGAATAAAAAACCTCTATAAAATATTGAAAATACATTCCGCGTTTGTTTCGAAAACTAACAGAATGAAAAAAAAGACGAGTTTTTTGCGCGTAATAAATAAAATTAAATTATATTGCAAATATGTAAAAAACAATGAGCCATTTAAAAAATAAACACGTCTGTAGCAAGCATTTTACACAAGCGAACAAGTTGCAAATAAATAAAATACAAATGCAAATAAATAAATACATTTTTGTGGATGGCAATGCGATTGAATTTGTTTTCAGTTCGCATTTCCTCTTCGTTTATTTATGTATTTTTTGTCTTCTGATATTTCGTGCATATGAGAAATGTTTTACAATTTCCACTATCCCCAGAACAGTAAATATTTTAAGTGTTGCCTATATGCACATGCATTTTTTATTTTTTATTTTTATTTATTTATTTTTTTTTTTTTTCATGACAGCCCTATCATTTATGTTTCAGTTTTAATTTATATGCATTTGAATACTCGTTTTTTTATGTGTGTGTGTGTGTGTGTGTGCCACGCCCCATTTTATCGGACTGATTGAAAAAGCTCATAAGTTAAATGTTTGTATCTTTCTTGGGGGCATGTCCGCAGGCGTAACACGACTAAAGCGAAATTCTGAATATTACAAAATTTAATTGTTTATTATATTTATTGCCTAACAAATAAACCCGTAAATAAATGCCATACACAGATAAAAAGAATTTGTTCATTAAAGCCCGTGAGTCAATCAAAGCAAAAATCTGCAAGCCCGATTTTAATGAGAAATTTAAATTAGCAAATTGAATTGAATTTTGTGTAAATTGGCTATAGAAGTTGTTAAATTATACTATACATATATATATATATTTAGGCTGATATATATTTTCTATTATAACGAAGAAGAGAAAAATAAATAATTAATTCGACAATTCTGCTTGTCATACACGTGGTATACTTAATTTATTTGAACATCTCACAATTATTTATCATATTAAAGACATTGCTGAATTTTTTTTTTTTTTTTTTTTTTTCAATTATTCATCTTGATTTTATTATTAATTTTTCTATTATCAACATGTCATCATTTTTTTACCGATCACAGGGTATAAACTAGTCTGTAACTTTCCATCTCCAAAATAATTAAATTACATTTGGAAAACAAAGAGAGTTGTCTTTGAAATTCTGCGGCCCCTCTGTTTACTTATGATTATCGTGCGGTCTTGCTGTCTGCCTGCCTATTCATATATATACCATCTGCATATCTCCAACTCCATTTTCATTCTCAACTTACCCCTTCTCTCTCTCTCTCCTTCTGTCTGCCTGTCTCTTTCTATGCCCGCCTTCTCTGAGCGCTGTTTGAGCTTTGTGGTTGGCTAAAGTTTTGCGGTCGCTGCGCTTTGATTTAGCGATTGCGAATGCGGCTTGCAATATTTTAGCATATTAAATTAGAGCAAATGGCGGCAAATGGAAACTGAGTCCTGTGAGTAGTCCAAAGACATTCTGTATCGGGGGCTGGGCAGCAGCTAGCTTGTTGGAGTGACAAATTTAAGTGCGGCGTCTAAATAAGTAATGTACGACCCTTACCTCCCTTTCTGTTGTTCTCACTTTCTTACTCTGTGCTTTTCTCCCCCTCCCTCTCGTTCTCTCTGTCTGTCAGTCATAGAATCAAAGCATAATATTCGAGTCCAAGCCGCGACTTAGCTGTTGAATAAACAAGTTTTGCATTTGCTTTCAAGAACTTAACTAGAAATCGGCTTAGTCATCCAAGAGTCAGTGTCATTGTCGTTGTTGCTCTTATACCCTTACCAAAGTCATGCACGCTTAGTTTTTGAATTCATATAGAAAACACAAGAAATATTTATTACGAGGTATATAAGATATATGTATATATTATTTGCTGAGGTATTCAACATCTTTCAAATAAATGCAAGTAGCCACAATTTCTAGCTGAGCTTTTGGATTTATTATATTATTTATTGAATCGAATTTACTTACATTAAATAATGTTTTTTCACATTTAGTATAAGTGGACTTTAAGTAAAGTATTCTAGCATACATCACTTTGAATAGAGTATTACTTGTCCTATTAGACCCAGTTCTTTCAAATAGCTTGTCTCGCAAACATTAAAATCGCCTTTCTCTCAGAATTTCAATAACAGTTTAAGCGCATTTGCAGTGTATTAACAATGCGCTGTGGTCTGAAGAGCAGACAGCATGGCTCGTGCAAACAATGCACAAATTTCTATGACAAACATATATTGCACCTGTTCCTATCAATTTCATGACACAAGAAACCAACTCTATTGTCCAGCTACCCACATCGCCTATAAATGCCAGATGCACCGTGGATTAAAAGCAGAGCTGTTGAGCCTAGCGATGCGAGTTAACCAGTTGCTGTCGCTGCTGTCGTTGCTGAGTATTCTGCCCCGGTTTGGATGCCTGAACATAAGGGCTCCGGATGACGAGCGCTGTAACATTCGTCCCTGTTATGTCATGAATATAATTTGTAATAATAATGGAGTAAGTTCTTACCCAAGTTTTTACCGTAAAGCAATTTCGATAAGTCACAGCGATCGCTTGCAGTCGATTGGAGAGTGCGAGGGAAATGCTCGATTGCTGGAAGAGAGCGAGTTCAGGGACGATATGGATACCATATTCAATACGTTGCGCAACACTGTGGCCGGTGGCAAGGAATATACGAATCTGCCCATGGCAGCGCACATGGGCAAGATGTACTGGGACGATGAGCTGGCACACTTTGCTCGGCTGGACGTTCAACGTTGCAAAGTAGCACCGCGACCCCGGATGTGCTCCATGAACTTCAACCTCATTGGCCGACTGGTCGAACTCTATGGCTATCACTCCGATAGCCAGGGATCCTCCACTATCGAAACTATTCGCAGCATAGCCTACGGCTGGTCGGCTCATGTGCCTAGCATAACGCGATATCAAACGTTGCACTTGCCATCCGAATATGACGTTGAGTAAGTTGAGTGTGAAAGAAAGATGGAGACAGAGAGTGAGAGAGAGAGAGAGAGAGAGAAAGATGAAGAGAGAGAGAGAGAGAGAGCTCGAGTTCTTTTGTTGTCGACTCTCATTCTGTCAACGGACTCCTGTCCCTCCCACACACTCACAATGCTCGTATATGTAATTATCTTTCTCTCTCTATTTATTCTTATTCAGTCTCATCCACTCTCTCATTCCTATTCTTCATAAGATCACTTTTTTATTTGCCTCTCTCTCACTCTCACCATCTTTACCTCTCCTATTACAGAAACGGATTATTACAATCTGCTCTTCTTTTGATCGAGTACAATACGCGATTCGGCTGCGCTGCTCTGAGCTATAATAGCAATATATACACGTATATGATACTCAGCTGCGCATTTGGCACAGACACTCAAGAGGGACAACGTCTATATAGCTGGGGCGGCACGCCTGGGATCCGATGTCAGCGTCGAGACACAACATACCGTAATCTCTGCGCCAGAGGCGAGAAGTACAGCTACGATATAAGCAGAAGAACATTTGATTCGTTAAGATTGTCGATATTATAGTTCCATATCAACGCGATCAACTTAATCTCAACTACAGCTTGCACCTATTTTCATTTATAGCTATATAAAGCAAATATTGAGCTAGATTTACATGCATCTTTACTTTGCCTTCAGATCTTTGTGGATTTTATTTCAAAGCTTTTGGCATAAATGATTCACGAGCACAACATCAAACAACATAATCGGCAAAGAAAGAAAACTATCATTCATTTCTTGTACCACCTTATACTTAAACGTGGGGTACCAGACCCCATCTACGACTCAATCACAAACGAAATCCGCCGGACTCGTGGCAAGCCTTAAATATTACATGAAATGCCGAATCGCCAATGAGATGAGTCGCTGGCAATCGCAATGGCGAAACTCGAGGTGGAAAGCTGCTTCAACTAATTGAACGAGGTCCAAATACCCTTGCTTATATGATCGAATATCGAAGAAATAATTATTGAATATTAAGAAAATTTTTCATATGGCTCGTGTATTGTTAAACTTAATATTCTCTATATATTAATATTAAATATATATAATAAATATAATTTGATCTGTATGAATATATATTAAATTGAAAAGCAATTTTCCGTAGAGTGTGGCTCATATACCCTACCATATATGTATATACTATACCATATATAAACAGGACGTCTTTTGACGGTATGGATTGCATTTATGTATATGCGCAGCTCTAGGGTATTCAAAGAAACGAATTGCCCAGGCAAATTGTATGTCTTATAAATAATGTAAAAAGTGTGAAACGCGCCTAATGGTGTGCCAAAGGACGAAAAGGATGACAGAGCTGTGCGCACACAACCGAGAAAAAAGAAAGGAAAGGAAAGAAATGCAGACACAGACAACGGAAGAGTGAAGAGGAAGAGAGCGAGAGGCAAGACTCTTAGTGACAGGCGTAGCATGAAATGGCGCATAAAATGACAATTGGCAGCTGATGTTTGGGGGTTTTCATAAATTTTTGACTACATGTACAACTACATAGTTGGATATTTGAAGCAGTAGGGAACGGAAACGGAGATCGGTATAACATTTCGTTTGTTGTTAATTGAGTGTGGAAAACAATACTCAATACAAAATACATTAACAATATTTCAAAAAAAAAAAAAAATAAACAAAAAACAAAACAAAAGCCCAAAATTACTTAAGCCTCTCCAGCTAGTTCAATTTGGATAAATTTTCACTCTGTTTCTGCACATCTATAGTTGAGTATTTGATTTTGATTTAGGTGGCATGTCCTGCAATTCGTGTCCACCCTTTGGTGCCTATAAGTTTCCATCCTGTTTTCAGCGATACGGCGGCGTCTCCAACAACAAGAATCCCGGCAATGTCCAAACGCTGCACAGCCTCGCCCACAATGTGATGCCGAAATTCTATGATGGCGTCGAGCTCGACTATTATCATCGACTGGCGCCAAACAAATTCATATCGGCCGCATGGGTCCTGAGTCATGTGAGACCCGCAGGCTTTCGCTTTGGGGGTCTCTACACGTTTCGTATGGTTGATGATTTTATGGTGAGTGGAAGACGAGAACTGAAAACACTTACAGATGTTAAATCTAATTCGATTTCCCCTATAGCTAACGCCAACCATTGTCGGCGACATACATCCCACCACATTGGCCGCCAATTTGAACCTCCTTTACTATCCATTCAAGCCACTGCGCCTGGAGGCTGTCTTCCAAAAGGCCGGCGAGGACACGCCCGTGGAGACGCAATATACAATCGAGTGGACACGTCCCTGCGACACCTGGACAACAAATTTGTACAATGTGCGAAATGAGACTGGACGTTGCACTTCGTCGGTAATGCGTTCCATTTCCCAGCACTGGGCAATCGGCTGCGAGCTACTGGTAGAGTGGAATGAGCCAAAGAAAGTTATGTCAGACTTGGCATTTGCTGCACGGTGAGTTCTGGTAGGGACAGGTGAAAGTATAATGTGTATATAGCACTAATAGTTAGTAACTGTAACTAAGGCTTAATTGAATCCACCATCATAATCTAAAATTTCGTTTCTCTTGCAGTTACTCTCATCATCATTATTCGTTTGCGGCAACAGTTTCGCGTCAGGGTCTGGATGTTAGCTATTGGCAGCGAATCCATCCGCAAATCCAGATGGCTAACATGTTGGCCTGGAATCGCAATACACGCAAAACAATCGCCACCATCTGCTATCAATGGAACTTTTGGAACTGCGCCGTGCATGGCATGATCGACTCTGATGCGCTAGTGGGCTTCATGTGGACCAAGTACGTTAGGCATATATTATTAATAATAATAATGATTTGCTATAATGGCTGTTAAATCTATCCCTCAGATATCTTTCACATCTACCACTGCAGATGGGCTTCAGTGTGGTTATGAGTCTGCCGACAGATCGCTTTGCGTTCGGAATGCGATTTGTTCTTGATCCGAGCGGTTTAAGACGCGGCGACTGAAATGTTTTTATTTGAAATGTTGAAATTATATTTTTTACCAAATTATCTGAGAAATGTCGTGTATACAGTTTAAGAAATGTTTGGTGTTCAATCACGAAATTTGTAAGTTAATGGGCGGTGTATAACACGAAAGCAAAGTGCAAACCAAGTGCTGATAGATATAAATATGTAAGTGGGTCTAAGTTCCATTTAAAATTATATATTGTAAAGAACCTTTAGGTGAACATAAATAATAATTAGAAATTCTCATTAAATAACTTAAACAATTATAATTGATAACCCAGGCAAGTCTTTTTTGCTGAGTCAACAACTTTTGTGCTCAGCTCCTGTCTTTTGCACAGAGAAAACACCATCATAAAATATTCTTAGAACCGTTGGAAAGAAAATCTTAAACTATATTCAATGCTTAGCACTTGGCCAAACTAATTGCCATTTCCTGTTTTTCTGTACGTTCGACTTTTAAATACATTTGCGGTGCTTTGCAGAGAAGCCCCAAAGCAAACTTGACTCACAAGCGTATAAATAAAATTTATAAAATGCCAGCACACACACGCACACACCCGTACTTGTACACACACACACACACCCGCACTTGTACACACACACACACACATGCGCATTTTGGCACTTTCGTAATACGGGCACACGCTGCACATTAAGTATACGCAACGCAGACACACTTGCACTCACACGCACACACACACACTCATACAGACAGACGCACATTGAAAACTACATTATGGCAACAATTTTATTTATTTTTATTATATTCTCATACCCTGTAACAGAATGCAAAGAGGCATTACTTACAAAATATTATTAAAGTAATATATTCATATCAAATAATATATTATCAAAGAATGTAATTTGGATATACAGTAGAGTCTCGATAATTCGAAATGGCACTGGGATCCGTTTTTTTTTTTTTTTTTCGATTTACATAGAAATTCAAATTATCGAAAATTATTCAAGGGAATATCATTTTTTCGATTTATCCTGATTTTCGATTTTAATCTCTACGAAAATCTTACATACATTATTTTCAATCCTTTTACTCTTTTACATTTGTTTCTTGTTTTTTCTCTGCAATGAATTAAACTGAACTAAATCATCAGCTTACAGGGTATTTCGTGGTCAAATGCTTTCAAGCAACTTTTGCTTTCTACTTTTTATTATATATGTATTTTTTTTTTTTTCTTGTTTTTGTGGCCGAAAAACTGCAGTAAGACTCTTTGGCCGATGCATTTGATTTATGCGCAGCAAAGTCTAGACACAGTAAATATTTTTTAATGCCACTCGCTTGAAACTGAGCAGAGATTTTCCTTAAGAGTAAAAATATAAATCTAAAATAAATAAAATTTATACAATACATTTGCGAAATGCTAGAGCTCAGCTGAGTTTCAGCATAATTTACTAAATAATGGTTGTTAATCCGCTTAGATCGAGAGCGGTCCCAGATGGTTTATCAGAACATTTTTGGGCAGACGAGAAGCAAAGGCCAAGCGCCATTGACCCACAAAGAAAATGAAGAGGTGGGGATATGCAAAACTTTGAATTGATTTTGTTTTTGAATGCCAAAACTTTTGGGCCATTGACTGTTCTTTTGTACAAACATTTGTGCTCAACGCATATGCGAAAACTTAAAGGATAGTCCCTAAAATGTGGCCAGGGCGAACTTTGCATGCGAAAAGTTTTCAATAATTTTACACCCACACAATTGGATGCGTGGCGCTGGTGGAAAAAGTAAATATTAATATTTCAATAAATGCGGAAAATCCTTTTACACTCTGCCTACCGATTGGCAACAGTTTTTCCTTGTTCCTTGTTGTTCTTGCTGCCGTTGATGGCTGCCGCCCGCCAGAGGGCGCCTCGCCTCGCGCTTATCGGCAACTTTACAAATCATTAGATTTTCATATCCGATGAATTTTACAACAATTTTTAAAACATTTACCCAACAGCAAAAAGATTTTTGCCCAACTTTCATATCTCGGCTTCAGCCCGTTTATGCCAACATTTTGTTTGCTTTTTCGGCATCGGCATGTCAATTTGTTTGTTTTTCATATGCTGTATGCGGGTGCTGTCTGTGCGTAGAGTGTGCGTGTGTGTGTCTGTGTGTGAAAGGGTGTCACAGTGTTCATGATATAAATTTTATATATACTGCATATGCAGACGTCGTCGACTCTGCTGCATTATTCATGCTCGTGTCGCCATTTTATGTTTATTTAAACTTCCTCTTAGGCCCACACCAGAAGCAGATGAAAGAAACAGCAGCACAAGGAGGAGCAGAGAAGTGCTGGAAACAAAACAGAGCAGCGAACAAAAAAATATATACTACATATATATAAATAAAGAAATTCATAATAAATTATGTTGAAGGTTTTTCTTAAATGAAACACGGTATATGTAGGCGCAACACAAAAAGTTTATTTAACACAATATTCAGTAACAAGTACACTTCTTCACGTACCGCGACAATTTGAACTTAACTAACCGAGCCGACACACTGACATTGATCTTACACAATGAACTTACTGAATGAACTTTGGCTCGACTTACAGCACGCTTATATACCTACTTCTACTGCATATCGAATGTTCTGGATGTCTCCTTATGCTTCTATGTTTGCGTCTATTTCATAATCCAGAACATTCGGTTTCTTATTCTAGAGACAAATGTGCGATCAGCCGACGACTGTGTTTACCGTTAGCTCAAATGCTCACTTGATGATGAGTTTTTCGAGATCAATCCTCAACACCCTCCCTAAAACTCAACATCTCTATAACAAATTTGTCCCTTATTCTTCATTCCCAATTTCTCTCTTAGATACAAAAATCTGGGCTTTGGCAAAGCTTTAGTAAAAATGTCAGCGATCTGCTCTTCACTCTTTACATACCTTACATCTATCTCATCTTTCTCAAATAAATCGCGTACAAAATGATATTTAACATCTATATGTTTGCTTCGTTGATGAAATTCAGGATTTTTGATTAGCTTAATCGCACTTATATTATCTATAAACAAGATGTAGTTACTTAAATTAATGTTACAATCAAAAACAATTTCTTTAGCCATATCATTTCCTTACTTGCTAGAGCTGCACTTACATATTCGGCTTCTGTTGTTGATAAAGCTACACATTGTTGTTTTTTACTTTGCCACGTTATTGCAGTATTCGCATATTTACACAAAATTCCAGATGTAGATTTCCGAGTTTTCTTATCACCTGCATAATCAGCATCACTATATGTCTCAAAAATATTATTAATTTTACTGTATAAAATTCCCAAATCCATCGTTCCTTTCAAATAACGAAATATTCTCTTAACTAACGTCCAGTGATGCTGCTTCGGGTTTTCTAGCTCTCGGGAAACTACATTAACAGAAAAACTTATATCTGGCCTTGAAACAACTTGTAAAAACATTAAATTTCCTATTGCTTCGCGGTAAGGTGCATTACAATTATTTTGTTCAGATACATTTTCATCAGACTTTAACGCTTCATTATAATTTAAAGGCAAGCTTTGTGTAATAAATGTAACAGGGCAACCATAAAAATCTGGCATACGAATCTGTGATCTATCTCGCAATCGCCGACCCATTTCACTATTATTATGTTCAGTTGATTCATCTTCAATTTTATTATTTTCGTATTCACTTTCATTAGTCTCACTTTCAGAATTGTCAACTAAAATTTCAGGCCTTTTAAACTGAGCTGTAAAGTTTTCTGGCTTAAAACATACATCTCTACTTATAATTACATCTCTCATATTTGGAACATATACACGATATCCTTTGCAATTTTCAACGTATCCTACTATAAATCCTTTAATAGACTTTTTATCTAATTTTCTCCTTTTTTCTTTTGGTACATGTACAAAACATTCAGTCCCGAAAATTTTAAGATTTCCGATATCTGGCTCTTTCTTGAACCACAACTCATATGGAGTTTTATTCCCATGTTTTGTTGGACCTGTGCGGTTAATTACATAAACTGCAGTGTTTACTGCTTCTGCCCATAGAAATAATGGTAACTCAGAATTAGAATGCAACATTGATCGTGCAGCTTCAATAATAGTTCTATTCTCACGTTCCGCAACTCCATTCTGTTCAGGTGTATAAGGAGCATTAACAATATGTTTTATTCCCTTCTTATTAAAGAACGATTTAACTTCTTTATTAATATATTCTCTACCCCCATCGCTGTGAATTTCTTTAATGTTTTCATGAAATTGATTCTGAATTGCCTGAATAAAAATTTGGAGTTTTTCAAATACTTCTGACTTATGACGTATAAAATAAACTTCCCGATAACTTGAATAATCATCTTTAAAGCTAACAAAATACAACTTTTTACCAATAGACTCTACCTCTATCGGACCGCAAACATCAGTATGAATTATCTCTCGTGTCTTTGTTGCACGGTCAATATTTTTGTGAAATGTTAGCCGATGCTGCTTTCCATAAGCACATCCTTCACAAAAGAAATCATTTTCTAGAAAATCAATATTCTTATTTTTCAAATAATCGCGAACATGTCGAACGTTTTGATGACAAAACCTCTCGTGCCATACTTGTAAAGAATCACTTTCTTTCGATTCTATTTTTCTTGTTAAATTACACAATTTTGGCATCAAAACATTCGCATCTAATTTTAATAAGTTTCCGAACCTAGAACCCGTTGCAATTATTTTATTATCACGTCTCAACAAACACTGTGTTCCTTTATTTTTAATAAGACAATCAACACCCCTTTTTGCAGCTGACATAATAGAAAATAAATTGTAAACTATTTCCGGAACATACAAAACATTAAACATTGTCGTCGCCCTTTTATTATTATTGACATAAGTTTCAATATCAATATTACCTTTTCCGTGCGCCGTGATATATTTACCGTTACCTACGCCTATCCTCAGGGGCTCCAAAAATTCTTCATAAGTAGAATACCAATCTCGACGCCTTGACATGTGATCAGAAGCTCCTGAGTCGATCACCCACACGTCATCTTCTCTGCCGTCCCTGCTCGCAATCAATCCTTTCCTCGATGATTCACCCGATTCTCCTTGATTATTTTCCGCTTGACTTCCTGCATTTCTCCTTTGGTGACAGGTGTTGCTCTTGTGGCCTTTCTTCTTGCATATATAACACCTGTAGCAGTCCTTCTTCAGATGTCCCATCACGCCGCAGTTATAGCACTTCATAATTTTCTTCTTATTTTCATGTTCTCTTTTATTTTTTTCGTTGCCGGCGACTAACGCTGTTGACTCTTCAGGTACCACTTCTTGTTCTTTTGACCGCATTTCTTCTGTCATTAAACGAGTCGTCAAATTGTTCAATGTTCTTTTGCTGTCTTCGACCGAATCCCACGCACTATGAAAATAGTTAAACTTTTGAGGCAAAGATGACAGGATTCGCGACATTAACATTGTTTCAGGCACAGCACTTCCAAGATTTTTCATCTTGCTCCACAAAACTTCCAACTTTGAAATATTGTAGTCCACACTCTCACTTTCAATCCATTTGAAATCAAAAAACTGTTTCTGAATAGCCGATAAATTTTCTTCTGATTTCATATCATACACTGAGTTCAATTTTATCCACATTTCTCTTGCTGTTTTGCAGCTCACAATCAATTCCATCGGTCTTCTCTCGATAGAATGAATAATTATTTTCCTTGCAGTCTTATCAGCTTTCAAGAACCTTTTCGAGTCTCTCTCGTATGTTGCAGACTCCTGTGTCGGACACGTCAAACTACCTTCACAAACGGCAAGAACATCGTCGTCTTCTTCCAATAGCGTACGAATCATAAAACACCACAAATGCCAATTGTCTTTGTCGCGTAATCGTTCAATTCTCATATTTAATGGCTCCATTTTCATTGTCTTTATTTAGTTACAAATTTGCCACTAATTCACTTTTGTACTTGCACTCGATTTCACACTACATTACACGTTTAGCACTGTCTGGGCCCATAACCTGTTGAAGGTTTTTCTTAAATGAAACACGGTATATGTAGGCGCAACACAAAAAGTTTATTTAACACAATATTCAGTAACAAGTACACTTCTTCACGTACCGCGACAATTTGAACTTAACTAACCGAGCCGACACACTGACATTGATCTTACACAATGAACTTACTGAATGAACTTTGGCTCGACTTACAGCACGCTTATATACCTACTTCTACTGCATATCGAATGTTCTGGATGTCTCCTTATGCTTCTATGTTTGCGTCTATTTCATAATCCAGAACATTCGGTTTCTTATTCTAGAGACAAATGTGCGATCAGCCGACGACTGTGTTTACCGTTAGCTCAAATGCTCACTTGATGATGAGTTTTTCGAGATCAATCCTCAACAAATTATTATCAATGGCAGCAGCGCGAATGGGAAACGAATGCTGAAAGCCTTTCAGCAGCATTTGTCCCAGAACACAAAGGCAAAGAGTATAAGAAAATGTGTATTTAATAAAGAAATTAATAATAAAGATGTCAGTCAGCTGATAAGCGAAACGAAGCGCTTTTTATTTATATATATTTATATTTATATTTATATTTATATATAGACAAATATAATGCGAAATTATTTCGGTCAAGTAGCAAAAGATCGAGCTGAGCTTCATGAATGTAAATGAAAAATAATTGAAAACTTGTTTTATTGATGCATTTATGAAATTGGCACAAATTAAACAATAATTATATGAATAGTTTAAAAAGTATTCATGACGATATTTTATTTTTTCTCTTTTCTTTATTTATCTGTTTTCTGACTACTTATCTATATTTAGCGTTTCTGTTACCCCTAGGCCTCTGACCCTAGCTGTACCACATTGTAGCAACTTATTTCCTCTTTTAAAATTTGTGACATCTCTATGAGCAAGAGAATTTCAAGCCGTAAGATTATGCTCTTCTTGAGATGACTTTATAAATCTTTCCACAGCTAAACACTGTTTTACTTAAGCTCGCAAGTTGAGTCCCTGTAATCACCATTAGACCAGATGAAGCACCGCTAACATAGGTCAAGCTCTCTATCCACACATAGCCCGAATACAAAGAAAACAGTCGAGAAAAACCGGAAAAACTTGTTTGTTTGCGCAGCAACCAACATTTCTGTTTATGTTAAACAAAAACAAAACCAGAATGCAAACACCAACCACCACACTTAGCTTTGTACTTCTTGGGATTGTTTTTGTTTTGTATATAATTTTTTTATTATTACTTCAATTTTTGTTTTTTTTTTCGTTTGGGCCTGCCAAGTGGAAAACATATTTAATTAAAGCTATT